ACAGCTCAAATCTTCAGGCGATAACTGTGACCTAACTAAGTTAGCTAAAACGATTTCAAGAAGGGAGATGCGAGAAACGCAACCTTTTCAGCCAGCAAAACTAAGTCCAATTTCAGTACATAGGTGAGCTATTTACCAGTAGGATGCTACCACCAGGCATTATTGACAGGAAACTATGTGTTGCAGTCTATGGACCTCTGGATGATAAATGAATGCCCCGAAACGACGCGTACCAAGGACGCTGAACTGCATCATATTAATGAGCAAATTTAACTCATTGGATGTCACAAGGGGGTTACGGTATCCCACGCTTTTTGTCACCATTTTCCATTACATTCTGTAGTGGTTGATGTCGAGTACGATAGCAGAATAAATCACCGTGCCGTGTCTGGCTCAGTTAGTCGGAAGGAGCAGCTCATCGGCGTATCGGACAGTTCGTCTCTGATGCCATCCAGCCATGAAGTTGTCGACCAGCCTCTCGATCTTTTGCAGCAATGGTTCGGCACACAACGAATCAAGATGTTGATCATTACGTTAATAAATAGCAAATTTTGAAATTAGATTAATATTTTGCTCGCACAGACGCCGAACATCTCGAAACGCTGTCTTTGACTGGGGATCTCCAGATATCGACCGTATCGAACGTCAGAGTAGCCCCGCTAATCAGAAACGTCACTGCTTTCCGTTAACAGAGGTAATGGGCGACGCAGTAGGTGGTTGGAGGACGTTTTTCTGCGCGGCACAGCAAACCCCGTCAACGTTAATGACTGAAAGCCAGTGCCGTGCGAAGGAACTTGGAAATGCCTAATTCCGTCCTCGCTGGTCGTGGTGTGTGTGTGTGGGGAGGGGGGGAGTTGAACCGTCGATGACGTCAAGACCAAAATTCGAGCTTTCACAATTCGTGAAAGCAACGCTAACAGAGCCACATATGGCATGTAATAGTCGGTAACAACGAAGCAAGTCCATTTTTTCTCACAAAGATACGTCCATTTGTCACGATGCATTTCATAGGAGCAGACTAGACGTAAGGACATAAGTCGATCGTCAAAGGCGATCGATCAAAGGAGAGATTGACGTGCGAAAGCAACACAGCACCGCCGGAAACGAGGTCTAAAGACGAATTACCGGTCGAGCGACCGACAACCGATCGAAAAAACAGTATGCAGCGGTGTCTGCCGCCACAACTACTGTCAGCAGACAAGTAGACAGGAAAAAACATATAAACAACTGTAGAGCTGTTACGGCTACCAGTAAATGGTAATCACGACACGCTTTACACTACACACACTTACAACAGTAACACAACAAAGTTTACACTAAGAGTTACAATACGGTAAGTAGTAAATTGTTTTTAAATAAACGAGAGCACGCAATAAATAAATAAATAAAGTTTAAATATAGGTAAAATGAACTAAGTAAATCAAAAGTGTTTTTACTATGTTAAAGTCGAGATTGTCATTTAGATTGTGCGACCATATGGAGACGCTGCCGTTGCTGTGCGTGCTTAAGGCGCCGGGCGAATCAGCGGTGGGAATGCTAGGCAAAGGCTGATGTACTCCGGCTGTACCGAAAACAGACGGATGTAATATCGGTGTACCGCAACATAGTGAAACGGAGGCTGCTGCTGCACCTGGGATCAAATGAGTGACGCTGGAGGTGGGCGTCGAAACGCCGCCGTTAGACTTCTGCAGCGCCATTAGTTGAAAAGCGGTAGGGCTGACCGTGTACTCCTGCGAAACGACGCACGTCACACATTTTTTTCTTGTCACGTACGACACGACAGTCAACATAGACATCGATCACAAACCTGTAGCGCTTTCTGCAAGCGGCGAACGTGCAGCGGCTTCTTGGCCATACCGACAAGAGCCATAATTTCCAGGAACTCTTCCTCACCAGCCTCTAGCAGTTGCTGGACGTCATCTCCGCCTGAAACGAATCGAATGCATGACATTGAAGAGAACTTGTGACAAATGAACGACTAGAACAAAACATAAAAGTGACGTCGACAGAATATACCGGACGAAGTGCAGCGTTCACTGAAAATTCGTGGA